GAGCTAAAACGCAGTTTGTTTCAATAGGAATTCTGGAGAATCCCGGGAGAGCTCAGTGCAAAATTTCCCTGTTAGTTTGAATTCGGCTAAAAATCTCTATAGTAAAGAAAAAAAAATGTTAGTTTGAACAATAGTTCCGGGCACTCTCATTTTCGTCAGCTGCAGATTCTTCCTTGGTGGACTCAATTCCTCATGCTACTTATAGCAAAGTGTTCCTCTCACCACTGCTAAATACTTTACTACCCGTTCGGTGATAGTATCAAATGACTCAGACCTGGTGGTGGTCTTGAATCATCGTATCCATACATTCTGTAACACTGATATCCCGGACAGAATTATACAAACCAGCATATTCCGCAACAGCACCACAAGTATCACACTCGCAAGAACTTCAGCACCAGTTTTCAGTTGCTTATGAAATTACTGTTGAAAAATATGTCAGCTTCAGCCCACCGATGATGATAGTTTTCAACATAAAAACAGGTTGCTATGTGTATTTGATGTTGATTAACGTTAATTACTCAGAGTTACTCGAAATAAACTCTAATTTTACTCATGATCAAAAGCTGTCTTGCCCCTTGGGTTTTAGGCTCTGTGGTCGACAAATTTTCAAAATAATCATTTTGCCCAAAATTAAATTGATTATTTTGCCTTTGAGGATCGATTCTGATTTTGAAATTTTTCGGGTTGGATGATCAAGCACTGGTGCATATCAACAACGTATATTCGTTGATGTATAATGAACTCGTTTGTTCATTTCGCTCGTACTTCACACCGAAGATTTTCAAAACAAACGCAAACAATCTACACTGGGTTGAAGCAACCGGTGGAAACTAACGATTTTAAATTGGCTCGCTACTTGACTAGCCTATTGGTCCCGCGCATATCGATTAACGTACCCCATTTTTGTCAAAATTCTAGTACTACACTATGTTTGTTTTGATTCGCTATGAAAGTTTGACAGATAAAATGAGGGGTTCGTGAATTTTCCTATGTTTCGAGGGGTGCATCGATTAGCTTGGGACCGAAGATAGTACTAGAGCTGAGCCAAAAAGTTCAGTACGTTTCTTCGGGACCTTCTGGTCTTAGAGTTACCTCTATGGCTTAAGCGCTTCTCCTTGCGTGTGATGGTAAATGATAAAAACATACACTGATCCCCTGTGTATCCGTGTAGTTTTTTGTAACTAACAGTAATTAACAGAATAATCTGGGCTGCCGTACATTTTACATTCAAAACAGTCTTGGCAAACACTCTGCGTGGGATAAATAACTACACAGTTCGAAAACGTAGTGTGAATTTCTGTTCAATATGATGCACATAAATTGAGCGTCACATATCATATAAGTTTACATTATATATCATGTAAAGTTCTGACACATTTCATGTAATGTAGAAAATATTGTACAAAAAAGCCCATATTTGTAAACAACATTGTTTACAAGTTGCTCGGTTGTGTGAAATGAAATACAAGTTTACGTGAATGAATGTTTACAGCACAATTAAAATTCAGGATTTTTATCTGTGTATATTAGCACTCTATTATTTTGAAATAAGCATAATGCTTAAGGTGCCGGACATACCCCCGGTTCCCCTATATCGGTTTGTATTGAAAATTCTATCTACCGAACGGTCTAAATAAAGCATGCCTTTACATTTCATGTTCAGTATATACACATACCAAAAAAATCTGAATTTTACTGGCGATGAGAACATCCATGCATGCAAGCATTCATACATGTAAACTTCCTTTTCACGTAAACTAGCAGCTTGCAAGAAATGTTGCAAACAAAAGTGGACAGTTGCATACAATATATGGAATATTGCATGACATGTCTCATAAATTTACAGGATCTATAATCTAAACTTGTATGTAATATGACGCTCCATTTATGTGCATCATAGTAACGGAAATTTACACTACTTTTTTTAGCTGTGCACTGTTTGAAAAATTCATGTCAATTTCTGTGATATATAACGTACACGTTAACGCTAGATTTAGCGAAAATTTACACGATATTTCATGTAAATTTATGCGCGATTTCGCATAAACCAGAAGTGTTGCATCCCAAGTAACATTGCAGGTTTTATCGCGGATTTATAGCATTCTACAAGTCTAAGTCATGATCTACAGAACCCTCATAAAACCAAAATTGTTACTTGGGGTAGGAACTTGTAAACAATTTTATTGTTTATGCCGACTATAGCTTAAAATTAAACGAGCAGAATTATTACGCGATGGTAAAACAATAAGATTTTTCTTCTGTGTACCATAAAACGTGGTCTAATTGATCAGCGAGTGTATTTGATCTCTCAGTTTTCTCATTTTTATTGTTCAGATATATTACTTTCAGGTTTTAAGTTAAAATAAGATGCATATCAGGCACTTTTGATAAAATTAGACGCATAAATTCAAATAATCATCAATCCATAATGTAATATCAATTCGCTTCAGAAACGTCAACGAATCATTCAACGTTACTAGAAATTTGTTGTGCGCTATCAGGACATGTCCGATTGCGTTTGACTATTTTTAGATTAATGTATGCACTAAAAATAACGCTCAGGATGACTTGCATTTTTGTCTTCATTCCTATTACCATGACAATATGGGTAGGTACACAAATCATAGTGCATGACTGCTCATGTCATTGCGTTTGTTAAAGTGCTTCCGCTGACTGTTCGTAAATAACGGTACAGATAACCCAATTCCTTGACAAATGCATGGAATTTAATTGCATGGGGTGAATCGATCAGTTAGGTGGCATCACCTCTTACTATAGTTGGCACCTTTTGTACATTTGTCTTTTTTTCTAACATAACTAGGTACCGTAATGTTTCGAATACCAGATAGTTAATCCGGACGCTTTAATTTTTAATTAATTATAATTATTACGTCTACTTTGCAACATAATAAACATATGTGATGATTCTGAACGATGGCATAAATTTACACCGTGCCGATGCCGTGTTTCAATTTATTGGAAAATGGTGTCAAAAGATGGGCTTGATTCTCGAGAAATGAATAATAACCCGAGCAGGAGAAAATAACTAATGAATACCTAATTCTGACCTGATACCAAAATTTGGTATCGACCAGCATGACATAATAGGTAAATGTTATCTTCCATTTAATTCCACTTAATTAATTTTGGTATCCATGGGATGAGTACTTAAGGGGGTTAGATTTTGATAAGTTCTTTAGTGGGAATGACACTGATGAAGACTGCACATTGTAGTCGAAATACGTATCTGTCATTGATACCAAAATTAATTAAGTGGAATTAAATGGAAGATAACATTTTTTTGCTGTTTTATTTAAGCATTCCGCTAACAACCCAATTTCATTACTCCATTGAGTCCTGATATTCTAGATATCATTATGTATTTAGTTGTTATCGCATTACTAATTTAGTTGTCCACCTTAAATAAAGATGTTATCAGTTGATACCCTAAAATAAGTAATATAAGTTAAATCTTCCGCTCAAGATTTAAAAAAAAATTGCTTTTCATCGCTAATCATATTTCAGTTATCAGCGTAAGGCTTTAATATCAAATCGATAACATAATTTGAAACTGTTGAATCAATTGGCATAGCTCACAGGATTTGTTATCAACATGTTTTAATTGATAACAAAAAGTGATATCCATCGAGCATTTTTTTTAATATTCAGCTATCAAACTATCAACCGGGTATCAGAACTTGTTATCAATTTGGAATCAATCTTGGCTCGGGTTCTCGATGGGAAAAAAATCAAATTCAATTTTACTTGTTGTGATTTCCGGAACTATTAACTGCCTGTTTCCTGATAATTCTACATCATACCAGAACCCAGATGTTGCAGCTAAGTCGTAACCGATGCTAACCGACTTCAAACCAGTTATACTGCTATTGCTGTTCAACAGCAACAGTATCATCACTTTCCCTCTCGATTTGGATCCGATGCGCGTTCGATCGGTTACTATTAATAGTTCGGTTTCAGCTGGCAGCAGCTTATCAGCGTCGTTTGTGGATGCGCTATTCAAGCGTGACACCTTAAGACAAATAAGCGCATTGGTGAGCATAGTGATCTCGTTCCGGACTGGCTGCATGACGTCCGCCAGCTGGACGCGTTAGTCCAGTGTGTGCCTCTTATCTCGATCTACAATTAGCTGTAATGTCTGAGACTTCGTTTGTGGATCGAGAGATTGTTTGCGGGGATTTCCATTTGATTTACATTGTATACGGCATTTTACCACTTAAACAATTAGCTATCCCAGATACTCGGGCATTACTTGAATTACCTAGGTGTCTAGAAAGCATCACCTTGTGAAGCTTTCTAGAAACGTTGAACCGCAATAATTGAAATTACATGTAAAACCCAAACACAGATCAAACGGAAGCCTAATTGCCTCACATTAGGATTAAATTTTCCTATCGCTTAGTGGATTAATGCAATGAATTAGCAAACGTTAAATGTTGTTACCGCAATTTAAGGAGGTGATATTTTCGTTGATCGTGCTCTTAATGCGTCCGCAAATCGACGGATTAATTGCTGCTTGACCATCGCGCCGGCACGACGATTATAGCCGACGAAGGTCGACCATAGCCGAATGGAAGTTTAAATTTGAACAGAACGACGGTGGTCACGAGTTTTGGGCTGACCGTGCTTATCGCTTCGGCGTGGTGAATGGCAACGACAATCATCATTTGGGTGGACTTTTTGCATCAATGGAATTGGGAACTTGGGAGGGAGCTGGGAGCTTACGCCGAGTTGAACAACCAGATAATTGGTCCGTTTGAGCGACGCGTAAATTTTGTCGTGTGAACAGGAAGAAAAGTACGGCCAAATTAAGCAGTGGAGCGTTAGTCATTATTATCTCATTTTGCGACTTAAAAAATTAAAGTGATGAAATGTACTGTACCGATTGCATAATACCTTTGTTATCAGTCATCGCTTTCTATTTTTTGTTTCGGTGGATTCAAACTCTTGTTATCGTTCGTGTATTATTTTTATTTGCATTTTTCTTTTACTGATTTCAGCGATTTTTTTAAAAGAATTTTACACGATAAAATACTACTGTCATATTTACAATCATATGATTCTTAAATACTAGACGATCGTTATTCGCCTTTAGATTTTGTACGTTTCTGTCTTTCCCCATCGTACTGGACAGCCTCTCGTACCCAATCCGGAGAGGCAGTGTACGGCGAAAAAAACTCGAACAGTATGTTTAAACACTGACTTAAGAGGAGAAGAAACACTTTACAACAGTACTACATCTTCAATAAATAATAACTTGTGTCATTTTGGTCGATTCATAAATTTTGACTGATACGGGCAGGGATTCCAGCTTTCAACACTATTATTGACCAATGTAGAAAATAGAGTACCTCTCTCACTACACATTCTATCGAAATATCACTTAGCAGCTAGGTAGAAGCGCTTATCACCTATTACAGTTGCATGCTCAAACACTCAAACACTCTCGCGATCGTGATCGCGACTGCGCCTGCTTCGCTCTAACATCTCTCGTTCACTCATTCGCCCTCGCGGACCTCTCAGTTCTCCAGCAGCCACAATCGCATCGGAATGTTACTGAAGGCATCGTTCAGGAATTTGCGGAACAGCTTGGCGATACTCTGGGAAGCCGCCGGTCTCATCTCCTGTACCAGCTCGTTGGCGTTTTGGTTCAGGAATTGATTGATGGCTTCGCCTGAAAAAAAGGTTCAAGAGAATCGAATTAGAAACAAAAATTCCCAAGATTGCCATGCCAACACACTCACCTAGCACATTCTGGGTGTTGACATTGTCCTTGACCTTGAAGCGGGCATTCTTCATGGTGAAGTCCACCAGCATCTTCTCCACCATCATGAAGGTCTCGCCATCCCGTTCGACCGGTTTGCCGTAGATCTTGGCGATGGCACTGATATCAGCTGTCGAAACAAAATCCACAAATTAGCTACGAAAACCACACAAAATCAGAAATCCACACTTACAGAACTCAGTCCAAAACTCCCCGTTGGATCGCACCGGCAGGAGCAGTACATTGCCGATCACCTCGTACTTGCCGCGGGTTTCGACACGTGGAATCCCGAGGCTCAGATCGATCCGAAGCTTCTTGACGTCACTGCGAACGTCCTTGATGGTGTAGTTGCCGGCACCTTGGGCAACGATGTCCGTAAATAGGGCCTTGATCCGGACGGCACCGGCATTGTTCTCCATGGCGAGCTGCTCGATCCGCAGCGGTTCCAGAGGGGGAGTTTTCAGTTCGGCCAGCCCGCCGGCAATGTACGGCCGGATGAAGTTGAAGGAGTTTTTGATGCATGTGTTGATTTGCGGATCACTTCGCCGGCAGGGCAGTACGTATGCAGCTGTAAATGGCAGAGGAAACACGTGGTTAGATGGGTTGGCTCGCGCGCACTTTGAATGGTGTTGTGTGTGTTGCATAGCAAAAGGCGGCTGCAGGAAAGCTGATGACGTGGGACAGGGTTCAATTTAGGGGGACCGTTTTTAGAAACATTGACTGTATGTAATTTTTTTTTTTTTTTTTTATTGGAACAATTTATTTCTTGGAGACGAACCAGCCCAGGGCTGAAAGTCTCCTTAATAAAGATATAAATAAAAAAAATTAACTTCCTAGAAAGCAGTAACGTATGATCCACAAGTTATTTAAAACTTTTAAAATTTACCGTTTTCTTGTACGTTATGGTTCTTAAAAATCTTAATCAATCAGAAATATAATGTTTATCTATTGTGTCATATTGTTTGTTTAAAGTATTTCCAGGTGAAATCTGACACAAATCGGCCAAAATCTTGCACAACCATCTCTAATTTGAATGATACTTGCAACATGTCTTCGGTGTAGGAGATTATGTTTGTTTTTTCACAGGTCAAAAAACCATTTCGACTCCGATAGGTTGTAATGAATTGTATGCACGTTATGCATATCTTATCACTGTAGATGGAGAATCAGGACTGAGTTTTGAAAGGGGAATTTTCATTTAAAAATCAAATTTTGTCAAAATTACTTTCAAAATATTTAGAAAACAGCTACATTCAGGAAGTTGCTCATCAAGAGAATTATATTCTATTAATATAATGTGCTAATTCATATACAAATTTAAATAAAACATGAAAAGTTTTTCTTACAAGAGTTTTTTAATTTCAAGTATCACTTACACATAAAAATGATTACCGACTTCGGTAATTTTCAACAGCCGAACTGTTTGGTAAAAACCAGGCATATTAATCAATTAGTTTTAAAGCTTCAAAACATGGAAAACTTCACCGCATTGTTTAAACAAGACTGACATTGTTTTCAAATTAAAATTTAGCGAAACAGCTTTTGAAATGAGGGTCAAAAGATTTACCGTATTTTTTTTAGTTCAGCTGTTAAAAGGTCGGTAAAAAAATTACTGAAGTCGGTAATAATTTCTTAGTGTGCTAGATAGGTCAACTTTATTTTTTTCTCTTATGACATAAAGTCTTTTCAGAAAAAAAATCGTATGTTAGTGCGATAAGCAATTCGCATTAAAATAACCTTGCATACGGGTGTACTCATTGGATGAAAGGGACCGTGAAAGAGGACACTAAAATCGAAAGTTTTTCTTCCGACTGTTTCTTCTTAGTATTCTTCTTTGCTTAAAGTGTACACATTGATTAGAAAACAATTAAGTTCATGAATTTTCTCTTTTAAACCACCTGAGCACTTCCAGGTCAATTATCAGAATTGAAATATGTATTTCAGCCACTTCCATCTAGGATTTGTATGAAATTTTGCGTAATTGTTTGATTTGATTCACATTTGAGCTGAAATTCAGCCATTTTGAATCACGCAAAAATTTCAAAATGGCTTATTTGACATTTTTCAACAAATCATAACTCGAAAACCTCACTTCAAAATAACATGCCATCTGAGACAAAGTTGTAAGAAATAACAATTTCTTTACAGGAAAAATATACACAGTAAGAATTTGGTGTTATTTTGGGTAAAAAATGCGTTAAACTTAAATATCAAAAAATGACCCAGGTTTTAAATATTTGGTGAATATTTTTTTTATTATAAAGATTATGAAAAATGCTATCTTTTGTGACATTTTAAGTTGGAAACTTTTAGATTAAAAAAAAACAAAATCATTGATGAACAACTTATGAACAAATTTTTGAGCTGTTCATATAAACCTCTTTTTTGAAAAGATTTCCTCAGAATACTACAGACTTGTTCAATCGATTTCAGCTCAAAAATTCAAAAAGAGAATTTAAACAAAAAGTTCCAAAATTTTGCAAAAGATGTTGTTTAATGATTTTAATTAATTTTTATATGTCCAAGATGAAAATTTCACAGATGATAGCATTTACTAAAAGCGTAAAAGCTTATAAAAATGTTGAAGAGAGTATTTTTGTTATTCAAGTTTAGGACCAACGGGTATTCAATTCTGCACATCCCAATCTGTGCCGAGTACTTTATATGTGCTGAAAGCTAGGTCAAGCGTCACTAGTGGATACACAAAGGGAGCAGCAGATTCGTGAAAACATGACTGAGGCTGGAAACCTCCGTCCAGTCACGACACTTCTTCCATGGTTTATCCATATGTCGGTCCAGAATCTCGATACTGGTTGCAGTCGTTTGCTGATTACCTCCTCCTTGTATCTGCCTGTTGTTCCTTCATATTTTTTTATCCTTGGTCATGCCGGAATCGCATATTAATCTCCCTGAAACTGCTGCCGGTTCCGATTGCGTTCATTAAGACCGCGATTCAGATTGGCTCCGTTACCTCCGGTGTGGTTATCTTCACAATTCTGTTAGCAGCATCTTTCTTAATGTTGCTGTTGCCGTCGGTGATACGAACAGTTGCAAAAGAGCGTAGAGAGACCTCCACAGTCAATCGAATCCGAGTTCAGTCCATAAAATGAACTGTACGGCTGACTGATTGGTGTTCCATCAATCGTACCGGGGTGTTCTGCGTGAGAAACAGCTGCGATTGCAGGAGGATCGAGGATCGTTCGGCAACGGGGTGTTGTTGACACCGCACATTATCGCTGCAATGCTCCTTACCCATACAATTGACTCTCGGTCCGGATCCTATGGCCATCGAGTTAATACTTAATTCTAGTTAATTCTGGCCTATTATACGGGGCGTAGTGACTCTCACTAGTTCGCTTGGACTTCCCTGAAACTATGGACATCTCTCAAAAGCCGTGTGGACTTTCTGTAGAGGTTCATCCCCCAGAAGGCATAAGGACAAAGAGAGTCTCGTCAATTGTACAATCTCTTATTATGATTGAGGATAATTTCGCTGGAAAATGGCACTAACAAACAAATTGCTTTCCCCCTTACTTTGAAGTGAACGATTGGCAAAATGTCAACACAAAACAGTGATGCGATTTTATATTATATTTTGTGTCATTCTTGTCATCGTGTGCCATGACGCGCCGATCAGCGTGCCACGATGTATTTCGGCAGAATGTGCAGAATTGATTATCCGATGTTTAGAGCACTTTTATGGATTTGTTTTTTACCCAAAATTACTCATCAAACTTTACCGAGCATATTCTTCCTGAAAATAAATTATTTTTTCCCTGTTCATAGATTTTTCCTGGATTTCTTAAAACTTCGATGAAGTTCTTTAAACTTTTCTGGTGTACTTGGAATTTCTTTGAACGTCTCTGAATTTGGCAAATTCTTTTTGATATTTGCAGTTATTTATCAAAGTTCACAGTACTTCCTAAGGTTATTATTTTTTTCTTGTGGTTCATAGATCATCCTTAAAGTTTGCAGAGCTTTCCTGACGTTTGAAGAACGTTTTAGATTCTTTTTAGAACTTTCATACAGTTTTGCTAGAGTTCACCAAACTCTCTTGAGTCGAAATTACCAGAAGGACATTGAACATCCCTGAAACGACCCTAAAAGTTCGTAGAAGTTCTCTGAAGATCGCAATATTTTTTCCTGAAATTGCAGTACTTTTCCTAAAGTTTGAAGAACTTCTGAGAAGTTCGAAGCACGCCTTGAAAGTTTACAGAATTTTCCTGAAGTTTGTAGAACTTCCCTGCAGTTCGATGAACTTCTCTGAAGGCTGATGAACTTCTCTGTTTCTCTGAAGTTTTCATGAATTTCCTGGAGTGCGCAGAACTTTTCAGAAGTTCATTGAATTTTCCTCGACTTCAGAGATCTTCATTGAAGTTCGTAGAACTTTCCTGGAGTTCGTAGAACGTACATATGTTCACAGTTCGTTGAAATTCCGAGAAGTTCACAGAAATATCCTAAAGTTCGCATAACGTCCCTGAGGTTTGCAGAACTTTACTGAAGTATCGTTTCAATTCAAAGAACTTGCCGGATTAATGCAGAACGTCCCTAAAGTTTGAAGCAGTTCCCTAAAACTATCAGAACCTTTCCCAAACCCTGAGTGGTGGCAAATTGCTGGGATTTGATATGAAGACATATTTTTACTTAACGGTGAGAGCAACAATAAATTCTGGCAAACATGCCGAGTTTCTGTTCATTAGTGGTTTGATAGATAATGTCGATAATACAGGAATTTTTTAGTTAGCTGAACTTCCCTGGATTTCTTAAAACTTTCCGGATGTTTGTTATATGTCCCTAAAGCTTGCAGATTTTTCCTGAAGTTCGCAGTACTTTCTTCACTGAAGTTCACAAAACTACGCTGAAGTTCGCAGAATGTCTTTTAAGTTTGCAGAACTGTCCTACAGTTCACTGAAGTTCGCTTTAGTTAGCTAAACTTCTCTGTAAGTTGCAGAACTTCTAACTACCTAAACTCAGTTGGCAAGAGTATTTCATTAAACTTGTGCTCCTGTATCATGTCGGCTCATCAGAGGTAGGTCAGCTTCTAAGCGACAGTTTGAAAATCATCCTCGAACATTCCTGTATTATCGACATTATCAATCAAACCACTCTTGAACAGAAATTCGGCATGGTTGCCAGAACTTATTGTCGATCTCACCGGTAAGTAAAAAGAAGACATTCATGTTAGCCAGATCACGCCAGATGGCGAGCGAAATCAAGAGCAACACATCAAAAAGGCTAGGGCTGCCTGTTCAAGTTTACGGAACGTATGAAGATTAACGCAACTGCATACCCGGGTAGAGGGTGTCAGTTGTGCGCAGTAGCATCATGAATTCATGAGCTTATTTTTATTCTATAGCAGAATAAGCTATTAATAGGTCATTTAATTGATTAATTTAATCAACATATCAATAAATTGATGAGATAAAATAGCAGAATGTAATTTAATTTTACTATGATTTTTGCTATTCTTTAGATATGGTTGTAGTCCCAAAGAATTTTATGATATTATTTTTAATATTTTACCTGTTATATCAATCAAACTCCTCCCTAAGCGCAGTTAGTAAAGGC